CTGGTTTTGAACTCCTGACCTCGAGCAATCCGCCCGCCTCGGCCTCCCAGAGTGCTAGGATTACAGGCGTGAGCCACTGCGCCCGGCCAATACAGCTTTTTGAAAAGTCCCATCATCCCATTTTTTTCTGTTTGTCATGACTGCTGATCACAGTCACAGACTAGTTGTTGGTAACCATACTCCTACACCATGCTTTCTCACAAATTCAACAACCTGTCAACTAGTTTGAGCTATTCTGTTGTCACATTCTTGATTCTGCAGTCTTTAGAGAGACTATTGATATATTAGTATAGTGGTGAGCTTCATTTTTGCTTATTACTTGGTCTTATTTTGGGTTAGGTAGGATACCTATGAGGAGATCCAAATGCAATTGATGATAGCTCGAGGTCAACCCTCCTTCATTTTCTCCTCTTTTCTTGTTTTTCTTTCCAATAATAGTTGTTTGCCTCGTATGCTTTATTGTTCTAATTATCTCATTTTCTTCTTATTTCCGATTTCCTTAGACAGGCATTCATAATAAGACTGTTGGGATCATTGGTGGAAGGGAGTTTAGAACCAACAGCCTTTGGATTAGGTCAAGTGAAAGAGAAAACATTTCTGGGTGTGGGCAGTGCCCACCACAATGCCTTCCTTACACAGAGTCAGCCCTCAACAGATATTTATTGGACCTGTGTGTCTTATTTGTAATCTAGTTGTCAATACTAACTCTTGAGATTTTACGCTATTTTTGTGCATGTGAAAAGGTCAAAATTTGTGGACTGTTAATCAGAATGTGGTATTAATATTGTTGGATCTCCAGGGAGTAAGAGTGTCTTGGATTATATTAGCCTCTTTCTCTGACTTTACTAGCTTTACTCTCAAACAGATGATACTTCTGCCTATGTGGGGATGTGCTCAGGAAAGAGACAACAAAGAGATGATTTTTTTTTTTTGAGACAAAGTCTTGCTCTGTTCCCTGGGCTAGAGTGCCATGGTGTCTTCCTAGCTCACAGCAACCTCAAAGCCCTGGGCTTAGGCGATCCTCCTGCCTCAGCCTCCCTAGTAGCTGGGGCTACAGGGAAACCCACCACGCCCAGCTAATTTTTTCTATTTGTAGTCGTCCAGCTAAATTTTTTTTTTCTAGTCTTGCTCAGACTTTTCTCAAACTCCTGAGCTCAAGCAATCCTCCCGCCTCAGCTTCCCGGAGTGCTAGGATTATAGGCATGAGCCACTGAGCCTGGCCAAGATTAATTTTTAAAGTGTTCAAATTGGTGAAGAGTGGGATTTAGGCTTTAAAATACATATAACTGGCCAGGCATGGTGGCTCACTCCTGTAATCCTAGCTCTCTGGGAGGCCGATGCTGGCGAATTGCTTGAGGTCAGGAGTTTGAAACCAGCCTGAGCAAGAGCGAGACCCCGTCTCTACTATAAATAGAAATAAATTAATTGGCCAACTAATATGTATAGAAACAATTAACCAGGCATGGTGGCGCATGCCTGTAGTCCCAACTACTCAGGAGGCTGAGGCAGTAGGATTGCTTGAGCCCAGGAGTTTGAGGTTGCTGTGAGCTAGGCTGACGTCACTGTACTCTAGCCTGGGCAACAAAGTGAGACTCTGTCTCAAAAAAAAAAAAAAGAAAGAAAAGAAAAGAAAGAAAGAAATTAATTGGCCAACTAAAAATATATAGAAAAAAAAATGAGCCAGGCATGGTGGCGTATGCCTATAGTCCCAGCTACTTGGGAGACTGAGGCAGTAGGATCACCTGAGCCCAGGAGTTTGAGGTTGCTGTGAGCTAGGCTGACGCCACTGCACTCTAGCCTGGGCAACAAAGCGAGACTCTGTCTCAATAAAATAAAATACATATAACTACAGCAGATGCAGTTTCTTATGTAGAGAAACCCCCATTCTTATTTTAAGAATTTGTCAACTTAATCTTCTGTCATAGTAATTAAAGGAGCTATATATAGTGACTCCAAGGTTTAAAGGATACGTTAGTATTTGGGGGGGGTGTCTATTACATATTTTTGTTGCAGTAAACATTCTCGGTTCCCTAATTTTAATTAATAATTAATAGTAAGTTCTCTATTTCAAATAGAAGAATGCACAGGAAAAAGTCTCACCAGAGTGTTTTTTTTTTTGTTATTTCAGACCAAAACCTTGTGTGACTGCGCTCAACAGCATTATATCCAGATTCTCCTCAGAAGTGAGACTTTCCAAAGGACCAATGACTCTGTTTCCTGTGCCCTTTCATTTTTCCCCACTCTGTAGCTATGTCTCGATCTCGCCATGCAAGGCCTTCCAGATTAGTCAGGAAGGAAGATGTAAACAAAAAGAAAAACAGCCAGCTGAAGAAGTCGTCCAAGCCCGCCAACAAACACGTGGCATCGGTCAAGACTTTAAGCCCAGGAAAATTAAAGCAAGTAATTCAAGAAAGAGATGTTAAGAAGAAAACAGATCCTAAGCCACCTATGCCAGTCAGAAGCCTCCTTACAAGAGCTGGCGCAGCACGCATGAATTTGGATAGGACTGAGGTTCTTTTTCAGAACCCAGAGTCCTTAACTTGCAATGGGTTTACAATGGCTCTCCGAAGCACCTCTCTTAGCAGGCGACTCTCCCAACCCCCAGTGGTCATAGCCAAACCCAAGAAAGTTCCACCTTCTAAGGGTTTAGAAAAGCAACGTGATTGTGATCATAAGGTACTCACTGACATGGGAGTAAAGCCCTCGGAAAATGATTCAGTCCCAATGCAAGATACCCTAATCTCTCCTACTATAGATAATCTAATCTGTGTACAAACTACATCTTTAGTTAAAGGTGAGAGTCAAGAGACCAGCCAGTCTTGGTCCCAAAGGGTTGAGGATTCCAAAATCAATATCCCCACTCGCAGCGGCCCTACAGCAGAGATCCTTTCTGGGCCCCTGGAAGGGACATGTTGTGATGGACTATTCTCTGAAGAGACATGGAATGATACCAGTGGTTCCCCTAGAATGTTTGCTCAGGACACTATGTGTGCTCCTTTACCCCAAAGAGCAGATCCCAAAGTTACCTCTCAAAGAAACCCCGGCATTCAGTTAGAAGACTTGGGTTCACGAGTAGAATCTCTTAAGTTGTCTGATTCTTACCCGGATCCTATCAAAAGTGAGTATGATTGCTGTCCCACCTCCAGTTTTAATAAGGTTATACCTGAATCAAACCTTAGAAACTGCTTGTCTATTGGTGGGTCCACATATCCTACCTCTGTAATAAAATTCTTCTTGACAGGCTCAGAACAAGAAATCCTTGGTGCTAATCCAGATCATCAAGAGGCCTTCAAAGCTACTGCAGATCAACAGGAAGTTCCTGATACCACCTCTGTCCTAGGACAAGCCTTTGGTGCTATCCCACATCAATGGGAATTTCCTGGTGCTAACCCAATTCCTGGTGAGGCCCTGGGTGAGACCCCAGACCCATCAGAGATTCCTGGTGCTATTCCAGTCCAAGGAGAGGTCTTTGGTACTATCTTAAACCAACAAGAAACCCTCAGTGTGGGTGGGGGTGCTGTTCCAGACCTGCCTATCTTCCTTCCTGTTCCTCCGATCACAACTGCTACCTGTAATGCTCCTCCCAAATGGCCTGAGCCCAAGAGCACTGTCTCAGGTGGGCTTGAGGTCCAGGGTGCTATGCATATTTTGCCTTTGGGCTCAGGACACACTCCTCAATCATCATCAAACTCAGAGATAAGTTTGGTACCTCCAGTAATGGCTATAAGCAATGTAGAAAATGAGAAGCAGGTTCATATAAGCTTTCTGCCAGCTAACACTCAGGGGTTCACATTAGCCCCTGAGAAAGGGCTCTACCACACTTCGCTGGGTGTTGCCCAACTCTCCCAGGCTAGTCCCAGCAAATCAGAAAGAGAGAGCTCCCAGGTCAGCACGACCAGCGTGGTTGATGTTGTCAGCACCACCGTGGTATCAATGCCAGTGTCACTCTCTAGTACCTCCTCTGCTTCCTACACAACTTTGCTACCTACTTTGGAAAAGAAGAAACGAAAGCGATGTGGGGTCTGTGAACCCTGCCAGCAGAAAACCAACTGTGGTGAATGTACTTACTGCAAGAACAGAAAGAACAGCCATCAGATCTGTAAGAAGAGGAAATGTGAGGAGCTGAAAAAGAAACCATCGGTCATTGTGCCTTTAGAGGTAAGAAATAGCCAAGGGGCTGGGAGACACCTGTGACACTTGTTATGGTGATCTGTGCAGATGATTTACTTCAATATTATGTCCTTTTACTTTGGTAAAAATGTTGCTTTAAGTTATCAACAAGAGTTTCTGGACCCACCTGAAGTATGTCTTATGCAGTGATGCCTTAGCTTATTTTTAGAATTTGTCCCAGAAACTAGAACATACAGTTTTTCCATTATAGGATTTGATGGAAACATAGGGAAATTATATGAAATGTGGTTTTGCAAAGATTTCCACTATGCCTCATTTTGGCTAGTTGCATGTCTTTTTTGGAAGTTAATAGAGTTAAAAATTAAGAGTGGAACAAATTCATTAATTCCCTTGCAGCTGAAAAAATCAGAGAAACTAAACTTCTTTCCTTTTGAAAGAATAAAACTGTCTGCAGCCTTAATCTTGAAACTTTGCCTTGGAAGCATAAAAATAATACAGCTTTCATATCATCTTATGGCCAATGACTTCTACCTACTCTGCATAACTTATAGGGTTATTAGAATTAAATGAAAATGATTTGGAAATTCCAAAGTGACATACAAACATTAGTTCTTATTATTACATTTTATGAACCTAAGGTAGTAAAAGTATTGGTTGATTTAGAATTTATTTTAAAAATGTTATTAACACTCAAACTGTTGCTTTACAGAATTTTAGAACAACTGCCAAATATGTTTCATTATTTTTAGATCACTCAGTTAAAGTTATGTTTATTGTGTCTAGCATGAATGCAGGCATAAGAGAATAGATAGATTTAAGAGTATTGTGAACTTTAATTCAGTCAGCCTTTTCTATTGCAATCTTGACTTAAATTATCAGTTAAAAAAGGCTGATTTTGTATTTGACAGAGCCATTGCAAACAAGAAGATTGGACATTTAACCAATCATGTATTAATAGGCATTTAAGGTGTTTCTAAAATATTTTGTTGTTAAAAACCTTATTGTAATGCATTATTTTCCTTTACTCCAGTCATTTTACTCATATGGTAGTAGATCAAATGTGGCCAGTTACTGATGGTTCACTAACATCTAAAACACTTAGTAGCAATATCTTTAGCAAAAAGACTTCCCTTATAAGCTACTGATTTGTAACATTTCTAACTATGTCATTGGCAGAAACACTGTATCTCTAAGGGACATAAACATTTGTTCTCTTCTTTCCCAAACCTGTACCTTCTCTTGCATTACATATTTGGTTCAATGGTTTACCATCTACATGGTCACCCAAAATAGAACATTTGGTTGTCTTTGTTTCTTCTATCTCTCTCACCCATTTATTTTCTCTTGTTCAAGATCTGAGCACTCCTACCTCTCCATTTTGTTGGCCACTGCTATAGTTGAGTCTTATATCTCTTATTGAGATATTTTCATTGTTATTTTTATTATCAACAAGTTTTTTGTTTGCTTTGTTTTAAGAGATAAGGTCTTCCTTTGTTGACTAGACTGGAATGCAGTGGCACTAGCATAGCTCACTGCAGCCTCAAACTCCTAGGCTCCAGGGATCTTCCCACCTCAGCCTCCTGAGTTGCTGGGATTACAAGTGTGGGCCACCACTCACAGATCAACAAGTATTTATTGCACTTCTCTGAGCTATGCACTGGGGATGTAATGTCAGCATACCACCTAGCAGGGATGTCAGAAATTTGAATAATGGCCTGAAGTGGTGCCTCACGCCTGTAATCCTAGCACTCTGGGAGGCCAAGGCAGGACAATAGAGACCAGGATTTGGAAGAGAGACCAGAGCTCAGGATTTAGAGACCAGATTGAGCAAGAAGGAGACCTGTCTCAACTAAAAATAGAAAAATTAGCAGAGCTTCGTGGTGTTTGCCTGTAGCCCCAGCTACTAGGGAGGCTGAGGCAGAAGGATCACTTAAAACCACTTTGGTATGGTGCTCATCGGCCACGAAATCTTGCCCATAGCTGGCACTCATAGTCCATTTTGCTCTTGTGTGATGAGGAAAGCTTTAAAGCACTGAAAGCTTGTTTTACTTTACAGGCAGCTTTACTTGTAATGTAAATCAGAATAGATAACATATACATATATGTTTTTATTACGTTATTTTTAAATGTTCACAATTTTATTTTGATAAATGAAAAATTAGAATTAATTCTAATGAAAGCTGTAAAAGTAAAAGCTTTTGGCTGTTGACTAAAATCCACACTCGGTCATATCACAGCTGTTGGCTAAAGTCACTGTGAGCATTCCTCTGTGGCTATCAACTATAGTCGACTCTCATGCCAAAGTGGTTAAGCCTAGGAGTTTGAAGTTGCTGTGGGCTAGACTGACACTATGGCACTCTAGCCCAGGCAACAGAGCAAGAATCTGTCTCAAAAAAAAAAAAAAAAAAAAGCCAGCCGCGGTGGCTCACGCTGTAATCTAGCTCTGGAGGCCGAGGCGGGTGGATTGCTAAGGTCAGGAGTTCGAAACACCCTGAGCAAGAGCGAGACCCGTCTCTAATATAAATAGAAACAAATTAATTGGCCAACTAATATATATGAAAAGAAAGCAGCATGGTGGCATGCCTATAGTCCCAGCTACTCGGGAGGCTGAGCAGGAGGATTGCTTGAGCCCAGGAGTTTGAGGTTGCTGTGAGCTAGGCTGATGCCATGGCACTCACTCTAGCCTGGGCAACAAAGCGAGACTTTGTCTCAAAAAAAAAAAAAAATTGAGGCCAGGCACCCTGGCTCACGCCTGTAATCCTAGCACTTGGGGAGGCAGAGGCAGGAGGATTGCTCAAGTTCAGGAGTTCGAAACCAGCCTGAGCAAGAGTGAGACCCCATCTCTACTAAAAATAGAAAGATATTAATTGGCTAACAAAAACATATAGAAAAATTAGCGGCATGGTGGAACATGCCTGTATCCACTACTGGGGGCTAGGCAGGAGGATTGCTTGAGCCCAGGAGTTTGAAGTTGCTGTGAGTTAGGCTGAGGTTATGGCACTCTAGCTAGGGCAACAGAGTGAGACTCTGTCTCCAAAAAAAAAAAAAAAAAGTTAAATAATAAGCTCTCCTTAGTGCAGTTCAAGTTTTATTTCTGAAAATCTGTTTATCCTACCTAAGTACATTTAGTATTCCTCTGTATATGTAATATATTTCACTCAAAATAAAACAAAAGAAAATAGAACAAAACTTCCAGTGCCTGCCAATCATAGATGAAGCCTAGATTCATCAGCATGGAATAAAGAGTCTTTTAGATCTTGACACAATTGACCTCTCTTCTATCTTGTTTGCCTTCATATCTCTTCACATTGTGCTTGAGGTTGGAGCAATATCCAGCTACTGGCTACTTACATTTTCCCAGTGCCATAGTCTCCATGCCCTGTCATGCCCTTCTTCCTTTCCCTATCTGACCCCACCCATTGACTCACCTCTTATTGTGTCATAGCTGTATATGTGTGTCATCCAGGTTCTATACCTGGCTATCTTGGCACAATTATAGGTGCTTCTCTGGGCTATGCACAAATACTTGTTAGTTGAATGAGAAGAAAATGTATCTGTAACTCAAATAATCAAGTTTATAAATTTAAGTGTTGGCATGTGGTATCCCTGGCAAGCAAGTGTAGTCACTGTTGTCAAGTTTTATCACTGTGGAAAAGACTAATATTTGTTGACAAATGAACGAATACCTTGGCTGTTGGTCATAATATCCTAAGTATGACATTCTTTATTCAAAAAACTTTCATTTTGACATAATTTCAAATTTATAGAAAAGTTGCAAGAGTAGTACAGAGAATTTGGTATATCTTTCATTCAGATTGCCCAAATTATCATATTATCATATTATTTAATTACTGTATCTCTCCCTCTTTTTCTGAACCAATTGAGAGTAAGTTTCACAAACATGATACTCCTTTACCCCTACATACTAGACAGTGTATTTCTGAAAAACAAGGATATACCGTTTTATTATCACAATTAGGGAATTAACATTGACCCATTATTATTATTTAATCCACAGACCTCATTTATGTTACACCAGTTATCCTATAAGAAAATGTTCCTTTGGTCTCCTTTGATCTGGAACAGCTTCTCAAAAAATTTAAACAACTTTATATTGAGTCATAATTAACATACGATAAACTGCACATATTTTATTTTATTTTATTGAGACAGAGTCTCACTCAGTTGCCCAGGCCAGAGTGCCATGGCATCAGCCTAGCTCACAGCAACCTCAAACTCCTGGGCTTAAGTGATCCTCCTGCCTCAGCCTCCTGAGTAGCTGGGACTACAGGCGTGCGCCACCATGCTTGGGTAATTTTTTCTATATATTTTTAGTTAGCCAATATTAATTTCTTTCTATTTTTAGTATAGACGGGTCTCGCTCTTGCTCAGGCTGGTTTTGAACTCCTGACCTTGAGCAATCCACCCACCTCGGCCTTCCAGAGTGCTAGGATTGTAGTCATGAGCCACCGCGCCCAGCCTGCACACATTTTTTTTTTTTGAGACAGAGTCTCGCTTTGTTGCCCAGGCTAGAGTGAGTTCCGTGGCGTCAGCCTAGCTCAAGTGATCCTCCTACCTCAGCCTCCCGAGTAGCTGGGACTACAGGCATGTGCCACCATGCCCGGCTGATTTTTTGTATATATATTTTTAGTTGTCCAATTAATTTCTTTCTATTTTTAGTAGAGACGGGTCTCGCTCAGGTTAGTTTTGAACTCCTGACCTCGAGCAATCCGCCTGCCTCGGCCTCCCAGAGTGCTAGGATTACAAGCATGAGCCACCACGCCCGGCCTGCACACATTTTAAATACACAATTTGATAAGTATGACCGGTGTGTGCACTGTGTAACCATTACCGCAGTCAAAATCCATCACTCCCCAAATTTTTTTTGTACCGCTTCACAGTCCCTCTCCACCTCCCTGCGTCTTTCCTCCCCAGGTCAATGCTATTTTTTTCTCTCACAGTAGATTAGTTTGCATTTTCTAGAGCTTTATTGTAAACTATGCACTTTTGGCAGGGGGGTTGAAGGA